CATTCAGAGTTCTGGGCAGGTGATGTTACCTCTGGTTGTCATAGCCATGTCCCATTGCACCAGTGGTTTCCATAAGCCCCAGAGGTGGATTGGGACCCTCCACCTCCATGGTGGGATTCAGCCTCCTGGGGACAAACTTTAGCCCTTCTGTGGGGCAGTGATGGGGAAATGGAGACAGTTGCCCACCCTACCCAAACTCCATAGACACTTGCTACAGGCTCTCATTTTTGTGTAATTGGAGTGCTTTTATATTTTTCAAAAAATTTCAAGAATGAGTTGATGGCACTGTCCATCAGAGGACCAGGCTGCTGGGTTATCCTTCAAGCAGTAACTCTACAAGACAAAAAGCCAGCTGTGAACAGCAAAAAGTGGTCCTCCCTATCTTCTCCGTCCTGCACTGCTCCATACTATGCTGTTGTGCCAAATCCCCAGCTGCAGCGAGCAATGTGGGTTTAACCAAACCCTCTGGCTTGGTTAAAGCACGAACACTCAGGGCTCTGATGGCACTCACAGCCTTGTGGTCTGTTCCCCTGGTTACAACTCATCCTTTCTTCTGCTACATGCTGTTATCTTCTGCATCTACCTAAACTGCAGTACAATCCAAATGTAATGTGTTGTGTAGTGGCACCAGGAATTCTTTTTGTTTTGCTCTGTTAGGTCCCAGGAAGGCAGTGGCTGCAGAGGACTTGAAATCAAAACCCTGTTTTGCATCTATTTTTATTGCTTATTAAAAAGTGTAAGAATTAAAACAGCAAAAACAGCCACCATACTTTGCCTTTTGGATCCCAGGAGCATTACTGAAGCTAGTAATTAAAAGGAAATACAACTATATGCCTGCAGTTGAACAGGCTTGATATATACCTTTAAGGCAAAAACTACGGAGTTTCACATGCTTCTTAGTCATTTTTCACAAGAGAATGCCTATTTAATGTCAGAACCAAAGTGCTGAACTGAATTCCCATGAATAGAGCTCAACCTCACCGGCTAAGCAATGCATGCTGTACTGTGCACAACATATATGCAGCATTAAGGATGTATCCTGTGCAATGTGTGGGGGAATATTTCCTCCTTCAGATAACCCCAGTGGGGTTTGGGACAAGCTCTAACCAAGCTGCTCCCTGTGCCTGCGTTCATCCCCACCTACTCAGGGTTAAAGCATCTTAGGGTTTACAAAAGCATCAACAGGGAAATATCAACTGGTTTAGAAGAATTATTATGAATTGTATTAACTTTTTTTGTTATTTTCATGGGAAGAAAAAGGAGGAGGATGGAAATATGGTGTGTTTCTTTGACCTCTCAAATAACACCAGTAGTTGGATATGTTAGCAGCAAGTCCTGCCTAAAAAACACCCAAGAACTAACAGCTTTTTCCAGGAGACTGGGCAGTCCTGCAAGTTCTCAGCAAGACTGGGTGCAGCATGGAGCCCAACTAACAAGCCCTGCAGAACTTAATAACTCAGCTTTTGTGGAGCGTGTCGCCTCTAATGAGGGTGTGCATTGCTGCGTAGGGAGCACCCATAGGGGATGGGGTCTCCCAGGTTTCAGACCTGTTTCTGCCTGCTTAATGCATGAAGACACAGATGACTTGCGATGCAGGTCTTCTCATTGCTATTTAGGAAGTTCTCCCTGCCATTAATGTTGATTTATACCGATTTTTGAACTTGCTCAGGAAAGTTTCAGGATAGTGGAGGAAAGCTGAATTTGTATCACTGTTTTAAAAATAAAATATAAAGGCTAACAGTGTGAAGGTAATTGGTACAAAGCACTTGCATGTTGTATGCATGCTGTTTTCTGTAAGAAAGGATGATGTAAACTCAACATGGCACACATGAAAAGGATTAAAACCTCATTAAGTAATTGCTTTCAGGATAACTTTGAGTCCTGTTTCTGGGGATGGGGATCAGGTGGTTGTGCTCTCCTGGTGCTGTTGCTGCAACTTCTGTGTTGCCTTCTAGTATCTGGCTTTCTGGAAGGATCTTTTAAAAATCACATAAAATCAGAGGGAAGCTTGAGTCATCATAAAGGAGGAATGTGCATCAAAACCAAAGAGCTTGTATAGAGAAACTTAACCTTCCCTTATGGAGACAACAGCAGCATGGTAATGGCCTGTAAGAGCAGAGCTGGTAACAGGTTGTCTCTTCTATCTCCTGCTCTGTTTTGAAGCTTTTTACTGAAACTTCATGGGGAATAATAACACAACTCTGTCCCTTCCTTGTTTAGCACTCTTAAGAATGGCCAGGTCTCCAAACTGAGAGCTGAAGCCAGGTAAATGCAGGCTGATATGGGAGCTCAAAATCAGCAGTGGAGGTGTATAACCACTGCAGCTTTTGAGCTGATTGTGTATTTTCCTTAATATATATAAATAAATCTCTTGTTCAAACAGGCTTTCGCCCTGGGCAGTGTGGTGACCTGTTCTCAGGGGCTTGGGCTATTTGCTCCTACCTGCATGAGGCTTTTGAGTAGACTGCTGGGCACTGTGTTAGGAGGTGACGGCTGCTCTGGTTTTGCTATCGGTTGTTTAGGAGTTCAAATGTCAACTTGACACTTCAGTGAACTTTCTTAGCGCAGCTATTTTCACATGTGACTTGTGGGTGTGGAAAATGAGGCCTGAGCAGACGAGTCACTTCTCAAGGTCTCTGCGGTGGAGCATGGCGGTATGTGGAGAGCTGGGCCCTTGTGAGGGTGGTGGCCTTGGTGGAGCATGGTGCCAACCTGGTGACACCACACCGATAACCAAATTAATTCACTCATGTGCTCTTTTATGGAGCAGTCTGGTGCCAGGAGAATCTTGGCTCATCTCTCATGTATGGCACAGACTAGCTGATGTGCCAAAATGCCTTCTTGTTGAAATCGGGAAAGGGAAGAAAAACATGAAGAGCTGTGTCTGTGTGGACTCGGACAGTGGTCTTTGGCTTAATGGCCTGATTATCTTGCTTTCTTCCCTCTTGCTGCACTTGTTTCAATGCCTACAGTGACACACAGTGGTGATGAGTCTCTGTTGTGCCAAAGCACTCGCCTTGCCACGGGGAGGTGGGGGCCAGCACAGGCCGCTGGTGGCTGCCCCGGCCTGGAGCTGCCTGCTGGGCCTGGACGTGGCCTTCGGGCTCCTCCCGAGAAGGTCAGATGAGGAAGCTTTGGTTTTCATTCTTCCATTATATCACTTTGTTTACTTCTTCATGATCAGTAGAGAGCTGTGGGTTTCATAAGCTGTTTTGTGCCATAAATGCCACACTCAAATTGTCTTTTTTTTTTTTTTTTGTGATAATGCTTTTTTTTTTTTTTTTTTGGCAGAAAAATAAGTTAGCTTTCTGCCTGTCATATTTCCCCTGTTTTTTACGCTCCCGGTGTGCTACAGAGGCCAGTATGAAAGCATGGCTCAGCTGCTCCTTAGCAGAAGACTTTCCAATGTCCTCGATTGCATCCCCCTTCAGTTTCTGGATGCTGCTTGCAGGGGAGGTAGATGCCAGTTTTCACAAGGATTCATTTGCTTCTTGTACTCCATTGCCTCATCTCCCAAAGACTGATTTTTTCCCCCTGCTCTGAGAACAACCAGAAGATGAGAAGCTTCGGGCTGCCTCCCTGCTTGAGCCGTTGCTGTACGTTGGGTAGCTTCAGCCTGAATGTTTGCAAGTCCCACCTCCTCCAGTGAATAAAATAAAGAACCATGCTGATCTGCCTGGTTCTGAAAGGTCTAGAAAGTGAGTGCAAGCTGTAAAAAATCACATCAAATGTGGAAAATGGTGGAAAAATGAAGATCTGCTTGCCAGGTGTCATCCCTCTGGAGAGCTTTGGTACTGGTGGCATGACCACTGCTGGGTGCAGCCTGGTGAGGAGCCTCTGGGCTGGGTCTCCGTCATCTGGAAAACGCTCCTTGCCAGTGTGCATGTCAAGGTCAAGTTGCTGGCAGCCTGCGTCCCTCTGGAGCGGAGCCAGAGGGTTTTAAAAACCTCTCTTTCTCTGATTTGAGAGGCAGCCCTGTGCCCCCCAGGCTGCGGTTTGCAGGGGGACCCGGGGGCAGCGGGTGGCTGCGGGCGGCACCGATGCTGGGCTGCTCCTGACATTTCCGCCTGCGGGTGCCCAGCCAATTGGCGAGGCTGGAGCAGCGACACATGAAATATGATGATTTTCTGCTGAGGAGGAGGAGTGGAGGTTGGGGGGGGGGGGGAAGGAGGGAGGACTGCTCACTCCCATGGTTTGTGTGCCCGGGGGCTGCGGAGAGGGCTGGCCACTGAGCAGCACCCAGGGATGGCCCCTTGCTTGCTGCTCCCCAGGATAATGAGGCTGGCACCCAGGTGGGCTGGGTGCTCGTGGCCCCAGGGGACACCCCCAGGGGTGCCAGGCCTGGGGCCCTGCTGCTTAGGAGGGCCTGGCCCCCCCTGGAGCCCCAGCTGGCTCCGTGCTGTCCCCAGGGAGCTGTGCCCTGCTCCTGGGTCCCGGGTTTAAATTAATGGGGGGAGGGGGAAGAGGGGGGTGGTTTGCTAAAACCGAAATCCCACCTCTTGCAGAATGCTTTCTTGCCGTGCCAGGGCTGCTCAGCTAAAACTTTGCAGCCCAAGCCTCAGTTTGATGGGAAGCACTTAACAGAGCTGCTCGCTGCATGTCATTAACCCTCGCACACCACCGCCTGGGACGGAAACTGTTAATACCAAAAATCAGTGGTAACCAATTCAACCCTGATCAGGAGCGGCCATGCAGCTCCCTGAATTGCATCCAGCAGCTGTTCATTTTTATAATGACTGTGCATTTATCCAAGAGCCGAGTGGCAAGTTCTCTGTTTATTATTATTCCCCCCCAGAGGAGGGGGGGGGGGGAATCCTATTAAAAAAATCTATAACGATATTAATGTAGAAGGGCTGCTAATGCAAACCACACCTCCCCCTTGCTCCAACTGTGCCACTGCTGCCGCTTTATTAATTTATTTGTGCTGTGGGTGACGGTCCTCCAGAAGTGATAATTGGTGCACTGTATCTTTAAAAGGTTAAAACCCTTTTCAAAAAGGCCCAGACTCATAGTGGGAAAAGACAAGAGAGGCTTTGGCTGGCTTTGGATCCAGAAAACAGCTGCTGATTAGAGTCTGCGTCTTCGGGCTGAATTTATTACATATTTTTCAGCAGCAGGGATTCTAGGAGGAAGCTTCCGTTTGGGTTTCTTGAGCGTGGTTTATTTTTATTCAGAGGAATAACAGAGGAAGGATTTGTTCCGGCTGGAGCATGCTCACAACCTGCAAGATCTCCCATTATTAAACTGCCTACTTTGGGGCTTTAATGTACATGTTTTTTTTTTTTTTTATTTTTATTAGCGTTATTATTATTTGGCAGCGTGCATCTCTCTATATTTTTAATAATTTATTTTGAAAGGAAGCTGATCTCATAATGAGCTTTCTCCTTCCTCACTTGAAACAGGTGCTAATGAAAGAATGCAAATAGCACCGGCTGAGCCGAACATTTCATAAAGACAGGAACAGCCCCCGACCCCAGCCAGCTCTGGATCCGCTGCCTGCACCCACCAAAGGTAGGCACTGGGGTGATTTTTTGTTCGTTGCGTGCGCGTTTGCAGATGGTCCAGTCCCCCCCGTACTGCGGGTGCACAAGCCAGATTCCATTTTGCCTCTGCTTCCCCCCGAAAGGTGTCAGGTTGCTGCTGTGTGTGTGTATATATATATAATGTGTGTGTGTGTGTGTGTACATCCCCGGGTGCCGGATTTGGCCACTGGGCAGGCGATGGGCGAGCTCCCCAGCCGAGGTAACCTCAGCGGTGTCACGGGCGTGCAGCCGCCCCGTAACCCTGTCCTCGCCGCGACTCCGCCGCCCGCTCCGGCTTCCTTTGCTCTCCCTGTCGCATGAATTTATCGTCCGTTGACAGCAACTTCATTTTCTCCCAGTGTGCGTGGGTTGTCAGTATTTCTTGCGGCGTGCAGGTCTGGTGTGGGGCTGCTCCGTGGGGAGCCCCGTCCTCCCGGGGCGATGCTGGGCGGCCCTGCTCCCCTTCCCTTCACCCACATACAGCCAAGCCACCGTTACCTGATGCTACAGCATATATATATACATTTGTATTTATTTTTTAATATTGCAACCTCTATTTTAACGTATCCCCGAATACCTTCTTGCCTGCACAAAGCCTTTCTCTTTTCCCTCTGCTTAATTTTATTTGCGTGCGCTCGGTGTTGGCATCCGGGCAGCGCTGGGATGTTCTCCTCAGAGGTTTGTCCTTTGCTGGCAGCTGGAGTTTTTCCCCCGGCCGCAGCAGCCCTGTGCTGTACCTGGCCCTGGTTCTCGCTCAGGCTCCGGGTTTTCTGCTGTGGTTTCCCCCAGCTGCAAGCTGGGGCTTGCAGCAGGGACTGCAGTGGCCTCTCCGATGGCCAAATCCTGCCCGCACTGGGATCATCCAGCCCCGTGAACCTCTGAGGGCAGAAATCAGGCCTTTGTCTGGAAGTTTGTGTTTATATCTCGGTGTATTTAAGTGTGTTTGAGAGCAAGGTATTTCTGTTATGTCTGTGTGCAAGATTATTTGTAGGGTTTTTTTTTTTTTTTTTTTTTTTTTTTTTTTTTTGCTTGGCTGTTAAGGAAAGGGTCTGCAGAAAGTTTACCCCTGATTAATTGTGCAAACTGAGAGTGGGCAGCACATAAAATAAAATACTTATTTTATATAAACAACCCCTTGAGGCTTCCTAGAAAGAGAACTTGTGAATATTTAACCTGACAGATATAAAGTAATCAAACCTGAATATGTAGTCTGCTCTCCCCCTCCTCCCTTCTTCTAAAGGCAAATATTTTTAAATTGAGTTTGATGTGGGGTGCAGGCAGGAGAATATGATTTTAAATATGATTAAGATATGCTTTTGACCCAGTGGTAAGGAAACACTCCTCTAAGTCTGGTTTTTGTCTATATCTGCTCATGAGGACAGGCAGAGGTAGCAGAAAGGTCCCTGGCCCTGGGGTCTTGTCTGATGCCCTGTGTGAGCATCTCCCTCCTCGCCTCATCCTCCCAGGCATCCAGAAATGGCAAATCCAGTGAGAGGGAAGCAGGTATTTAATCCCCCAGATCTCATGCTCCCTCATGCCGAGCCAGCGATGCTCATCTTTTGCCAGTTTTGGTGCTGTACCAACGAACCCAATGCTGTGCTAGTTTTTCTTCTTTTTGGAGATTTGTTTCTAATCAACTGGATGCAATTCCTCCCAGCTGCAATGAAACACAGGGGGGTTGGTCTTTATTTCTTCCCCTTGGCTAGCCTGCTTGCTCTGTGGGTTTTTTGTGGGGTGGTGCCGTGTAGGAGATCGCTGCTGGTCTCCAGCCCTGAGCTTGCTGAGGTTGGCAGCGGTCATCAGCGCTGGTGGGAAATGGTTTGGATGAGAAGGCTCCTGAGAAAAAGCCCAAACAAGCTGGGGACTCAGGAGGGGGAGGAAGGGGAGGTGGCTCCTTTCCTACTAAATCATCTCCAAACATTGCCTCATCGTGGTGTCAGGCACCAGCTCCTGCTCTGGGGCCACAAAAAGCCTTCGTGCGTTGCATTGCCCAACCCTCCCTCCCGGCAGCGTTAGCAGGACACAGCGAATTTTGTTTCCTGCTGCAAAGAGCCCGCGTGCTCCTCTGCAGATCTGGCTGCAGCTGAGCACCACGTGGAGCTGCTCTTTTAGGGAGTCTCTGTAGTACCTTGGGACCGGTGGGAGCTGGTGGCCCTGCGTCAATCCGCCTTGTATTCTTTCATCACCTCCCAAGAAGGGGAAGTGAAACTCAAGGGCAGAGACTGTCACTCCCCGAGGAGCCCCGGTCACCCGCTAGTATCGTGCTCACAAAGGAAGCTGTTAATTATTTTGCTGGAAATAGTTGTAAGACTTCTGTAAATGTACATGACGTGGAAGGCTGTGGCTTTCAGATGGGTTCTCCAGCATCTTGGCTCATTTCTGGAAAACGTGGCTGGCCTGTTCGGTTGAGTTGTGCGATGGGGATATTGCTGGGAAAGTTGCTGGCTGTAGGTGGGCTTCACAGATGCCTCAAGGGCTCCTTGGGTGCACTTTAGTTCTGGATTTCCACCCGGCCCTGGGCTGGCTCAGCAATTAGCAAAAATCTTGGTGATCTCTGTTCATGACATGGAACTGGTGAGGACGGTACCGGTGCCAGGAGATCAGTAACCTAATGCTGACCTAAACCCAGCATTTTCAGTTGGACCAGCTGGGGGACAGCCCCTGTGTCTTGTGCTGGTAGGAACACAAACCACACTAGGCTTGTTTGTGGCTAAAAGAAATCTCCTTTCTCCATGTAAAGTTAAATATCTGCAGCTGGCTAAGCTGAGGCAGACGTATGATGCTGGTTAGGATGGATGCACCAAGGAGCTGTACATCCCAACATGCTGATCTGCTTGATGGCTTAAAGGTGCACATCATTATCTGAGGATCATCAGGTGAGGGTGGGTTGTTATATGTCCACGTTTAGCTATATTACTGGTCTTGCTTCAAAAGGGGTGGCACAATTCATAGCTCTGATCTCTTTTAGTTCTTTAAGAAGCTTGGAGACTTTTATTTCAAGAACGGAAATGTACCAGCTATGTAAGTCATGGATTTGCTCAACTCTGATCTCAGTGGTGAACTGAGGTGGGGGGAAAAAAAGCAGCATGGCCTTTTTTTGTTCCCATTTAACCTTTCCGTGTCTTACTTTCTCTGCTGTGTGGGAAATGGGGGTGGGGGAGCGGGGAGTCGTTTGGCCAAGATCTCAGCGTGGGTCCCTGGCAGATTGAAAATACAAGTAATAAGTTGTGACTCTAAGCTCCAACTGCAGACAGCAGCGCTTGCTCGCTTTTGTTTTTTTAGATGAGTATTTGCTGGGCAGGCACTGGTGCCAGAGGAAAATGCACGGGGGGGGAGGCAGGAATCATGTCTCTTGCTGTACAGACGCTCCACGTGGTTAGATGTGGTTTGTGCAGATGATGCTGCGAGCAGCAGGAGCAGCCCTGGCTCCTGGGGTTGCGGTGGAGTCTGGGCTGTTGGGAGGTGAATGAGGACGACCAGTCGCTGTTACCAAAAACTTGAATAACTGCATGTGGTGTGGCCAGCTTCGGGGCTCAGCAAGCCGTGTGTGAAAGCCCTCGTAGCCAAGGGCTGTGGGATGCTGCTGGTGTCCCCTGAGAGCGGAGGGAGGGGGAGCCCCAGAAATAGCTGCTGGGACAGCTCCTGCTGGGGCTGGATGTGTCGTTGTGGCCCGGGACGCCCTAATGACTCCGACCCTAATGGTCCTGGCGGATGAGCCTCACTCACCCTGCAGCTGGATGATCCCACAGCCCTGCTGCCCCAGGGCTCCCGTGTGGGAATCCCACGGGACTTTGGATGAGTCGAGCACCCTCTCAAACGCCCCAGATGTTTTACAGCTGGGACAAAAACGTGATGGAGAGACTGCCTCTTGCTCGCTTCCCCTCCCATGTGCCATCTCGACATTCTGGCAGCTCTTGATGTGGGATGCACGGGCACCTTCTAAAGGAGCTTGGTCAATAAAATCTGGCTGAGGAGAGAACCGCGGGTGGCTGGACCATCTCCCACATCCCTGGAGGAAGGGCCCAGGGCTGCTGCTGACTCACGGCCCCCGTTTGGGGGCTGCCGGTAAAAAGGAGTGAGTAAACCCTGATGTAACGAGTAATCTGCTGAAAATAAGTCACCGCAGAATTTATCATTCTGTTAAAGTGCGAACGAGAAAGGCGAGCGCTGCTTGTAATGATGTCAGGGATGATCTCGGAGTCCTTCAAAACACACCTCCGCTATAAACAAAACTTTTAACCCCCCCACTTTTTTTAGGTGCCTTTTGAGCTTAAGCATATTTTATATACCCCAGCGGGCATTCCTGCTGAATGATGAATTTGAAGTCAAAATGTCTAGAAGGTTAGAAATAAGCAAAGGCAAAAATGGCAAGGAGGTGTGGTTGGAGCTTGTGGGGTTTTCTAAATAAATGCTCGTGTGTGGAAGGACAGAGCCCTGTGCCTTGCCCAGCTGTGCAAGCAACATCCCCTCCTGCCTCGGTCCCGGTCCCTCTTACCTGCATCCGTCCTACATCCTCCGTTTCCAAGCTGTTTGCAATCCTCCAACGCCAGTTCCCAGTTGCCCATAAGATTTAGTTGCCCAAGCCACACTTGTTAGCCCTCATCGCTCTCCCCGAGGACTCCACCTGATTCCTTGTTGGCTGTCGCAGACAGGATCACAGTCCTGAATGCTGCAGGTGGGTTCCCATGCTGACATCCTGGTTTGGGTTGCTTATAACTCATATCTTTGCCCTGATTTATTTATTTATTTATTTATTTATTTATTTATTTATTTATTTATTTATTTATTTATTTATTTTTGGTCCTGGCACCATAGTGAATTTTAGGGGGGGAGCGAAAATTATTGAGCCATACAGGCTGTTTTGAATGGCTGTACAAAAGCAGTCTGGCCAGGTTTCTCCAGAATACTCTTCTCTGTATTTGCTAGAAATTAATGCTGCGTGCGACCCGGCACGGCTGGGACGTCTCCAGTAAGCGTGGGCAACTTCTG